CAATAGTTGGGCCAGCCCAACTGCAGCACTACAGTTGGGACTGTCCCAACTGTAGTTGGGACTTATGCTATAGTTGGGGCATAACATTTACATTGTGGTCCCAGTTGGTGAGAAAGTTAACCTGAATATAAGTACATTAAATACATAAAAAACCCATCCAAAACTTGTAAAAGCCATCAAAATACAACAAATCAATACACACTATCAGAAAATTGATCTGCAAAAATACGAAAAAGCCTGAAGATTGTGTTGTTTCACTTAGACACAACTTGTCATGACTTGTACAAATAATCAAAAATATTATGTTTAGCCCTGTCCTTTACAGATACACTGTACGTGTACATGTTGTTAAGAACAACAAAAAAGCCCCCAAAAAACTATTTTATGAAACAAATAATAACCATAAAACTTTACGCTTAGCACATCATTTAAAACATTAATTAAACAATAGCCACTGCAAAAACAAAATTTATCCTGTTTTTGATGAGTATTAAGATCAACATTACAGATCTAACCTACAAAACAGGAGGGAAAGAATGTTGCATCCTCACTCCACTTCAGCACTTGTGAACAAAGTTCACAAGAAGTTAAGTAAGCGTATTTCCTGAATGTCCTGACAAAAATGGAAATTTTCTCAGACAGTGGGCAGTGCAAGATTCATGTGTGTTCACGTCTTTTCACTTCAGCATTTCTGCAATGAATGGTAATGATGTTAAAAAAATGAAGACAGGATGCAGCATTCTTTATGAAAGGTGTAGCCTATAATGCCAATGGTCTAAATGACAGTTGGAAAAAAACCAATGACTGATTCCATAAACTTGATGATATTGCAATTTAATATAGGTCCACTATTTGTCCGGAAATCGGGCAAAGCTTTGCTACATGATTCAACGCCGAGAAGCCAGGCCTTACCTCAAACAACTGGGGAATCTCCCGCTTTGACAGGTAAGTTTTAGTGTCGTCCTTAGATGTCATAATGAAATCGAATCTGTCTCCTACCCCTCAGATTAAACCGTCAGGCCAAATTTTGGCCCAGATTTGTCGCTTTCAATTACCACAACAGGTGGCCACTTATCTGTGTGTAGTCGTCATGCACGTTTCTAGGCAAACATTTGCAGTCTGTTACCATTTATGAAACTACGGCTTCGCTGTCACGGCGGCTCCAAGTGAGGCGAAAAACCATGTATTATCTTGTAATTATTGAATAAAATGGAAAATCTATGAGCCATTCGACAACGCAAAAAATAAATAAAGTTGAATAATTACATATTCTGGGCCAGACTGACAAAACCAGCAAGGTAATTTTTTTGGCAGCCGCTGCGCGATGGTAATCGCAGGAACGATACCTAGGTTTAGAAAATCCCCGGGCCCTTGACTTCGTGCACTGATGTAGTCTATATATTAAGAAAAAGGCACTCACGGTGGCCGAGAGCGGACCAAGCAATTGTACAAATTCATTGTGTCACTGAAGTGGCGGTCGGATTGTGAGCGCACGAATTCACCTCATGCGTATGACGTCAAGTGAGAGGCGATTTCTTTCTTCCACTGGTGTACGCTCGAGTGAAATTTGTGTGCGTTCAATGTAACGATATCAAAATAACTAAGAACAGCCTCTGAGACAACAGCAATTAATGCATAACTTTTATTGGTGTGAATTCTAGTAAAAAGGAGTATTTTGTATGGCTTTATGGCAGTTTAGACAGGTGTTGGGACAACCTCTTAGGGGCGGGTGGCTGGGAGAATTTAGTTGTTCATCTGGTCTAAAATGTGCTGTTGTTGAGACCCTTTAATTAAAATCAAATTTTGACCTGAACTCATCAATTCCTTAAATGCCATAGACCTCTGTACTGATGACGCCACACTTTGTTTTCCTGTGGTGCTCAGTGAACCATGGGCCCTCTTTCAGTTCATCTATTTATCTATCAGGTATTTATGTGCAATGAAGAAATATCATCCAATCATCCTGAATGTTCTGTGCATAAAAGGTCTGGCTTGGGCAGCATGGGGGGTGGGGACAGACAAATTCAAACTCAAGAGTAACAAAAACAAATTAAATTCTCAAAACTTTTTATTCACAACTGCTTTGAAGCAAAGGAGGAAGAAGTGTGTGGGGGCAGCCTCACTTTGAAAATCGTTCTGCCCCTGCTGCTTTTGAAGTTCTTCAACCTCTGCTATAAATAGTCTGTAGTGTGGTTGTATCCAACTCAACTAGCTAGTGGCTTCCATAGGCACCTATATTATTTCCAGCCACAGCCATGTCTGAAACAACTGGCTGTGGCTGAGAGTAACACACATGCCTATGGGATGTGGCTGCAGCCGACTGCAGCTGGCTTACATAGCCGCCAGCATTATTTCTAGCCATAGCCGTAACATTTGGACAAAGTCTCACATACTTTTAGCTTAAGAAACATGATGAAATTTACAGGAGTTGAGCACTTACACATTCTCCCCTAAGAGTCAGCAGAGTACTGAAGTGAATTATGTCAGCGCACAATGCTGGAAAAAGCCTTGGCGTGAGAACCAGTGCATGAACCAACACACGCATATACTCCACTGGTTGCACTACACTTCCTGGTTCAAATGACGCCACACTTCAGTACTCTATACTCATACTGATAAACTGACTGACAACTATAAAACTGACACTCCTATTTGAATTACTTTTTCAATTTCTACTTGTCTGGTGTCAAATCAGTAACAATGGTACACTTTACAACTGAAGCATGGTAAAGCTTGTTTTCAGCAAGCTTGAATAAACACTGAAAGACCCGTTTAAAGTTGTCATCATCATGAAAATACATCTATTCACATTCAAAATAGACCTCGTGAGGTGCACAGTATTTCACGTCGGCCAGGTAGGAATAGGAGATGACCAGCCCAGCAGGCTAGCGAGCGAAATGTGTCAGGTTGGCCAGGCCAACTGAGTTTGGCTGTGTTGGTGGACCGCTCATTAAACAAAACCCTGGACTCTAAATCCTTGATTGATGTCGAGGTTACGGATGGCCATTCCGTAAATTTCAGTGCCTCTTTAGTGGTGTCCCATGGCAACGGATGACCTTGGCAGCTGGAAGTGTGGAAACATTCCTTCCGCTGAGCAACCAGTTTGTTCCGAGGCTATAATGGTCCAAAGTCATCTCTCTGCAAGCAAGACAAGAGAAATAGCAATTATTTTAGAAATGTGAACATCTTGCCGAAACCAAAAACGAAGAGATGGTTTTGCATAGCATTCATGTTTTTCATTTGACACTTCCAGCCAATAACAATCTCTTGAAGGTACCCTCTTTAAACGAGGCCTTTTCCAATCAAAGAGTTTCTTGACAGTGACTTAACTTCAGGCGGAAGGGAACTGAATGAGAAATGGAATCACCAGAGTTTTCTTGTTTTGATTTGAAAAGCTATAATTTATCCTTTGAGAGTTTTAGAGAAGGGTGCATTTAAGGGTGCATTTTTTTCACCGCTGTCCCTGTACACAATTTGACTTCTCCCAAAAACAAGAGGAAACTTTTCAGATTTTAAAGGTCTGAAAAAAAAAACAACGCAACATAAACAATCATCAAGCTATTTTTACACATGTATCTGAAAAGTTTAAATCTCTGAACTGAAATTTTTCTAGCTTTTACTGTTGCAGGTTGCATGATTGTTGTATGCTGCGACTCTCTTACCATTTCATTGTAAGTTGTGATATGTTGTCGAATCTTGGAAGTGTCGGTCCACGTCACAAAGTCTTCCATATTCCTGTTATTCCAACAATAGAAAAGCACATTCACAAATTACAACAAATGAAAATACTAACAGCATAATAGCAGCATGTTTCTTCTCTTTATAGTGACAAAACTTTGTGAATATCAGTTTGAAAACTAAATATGAATAAATGGTCTTTTAAACTTCACTATTGATAAACAATATACAATCACAAAAAATCTAACAATTTATGGCGAGAACACCAAAAATCACTATTTTTTCATAAATATTAATTAAGTTCAACTTGTGAAAAAGCTTTTTTAATTTTAGAAGCATGGGGCTGGAGCCATTTTGAACCTTCAGTGCAAGTTCATTAAGCCCATTTAAGAGCTAAGCAAAAGAGTACTGAGCACCAGTCACTGGCAATATATGCCTGGTTACCAGTTTTTGTTTAGGAAACATTTCCTTTCTGAGCTTAGCAAGTTTACCTGTTCACTCTTACCTGGTCACAAGAAATGCTGGATCGAGTATCAGCTCAGGCCCAACTCTAATATCTGGACAGAACAGTTAAGGATCCTTTCCAAAAATTCAATATGACACAATCAAACATATTTCCAGTACCAGGTTTATTTCCAAGTCTTTGAAAGAAAGGATACGCCCTTGCTCTATAAACCTCACGGCATTGGGCACATCCTCAGCCATCTTCAACTTCACCATGACAACCGGCAGTCGCCTCCTGCAGAATGACGATGCACTGACCTTGTCACAGAGCTCTAGGCTTCTTTTTGTTGGTATAATGCCCATGTTGTACCTGAAATGCAAGGTGGTTGTTGACCTTTAACTTGCAGTAACATCAGCAATACTACACTAAGACTCTGACTAGTCTATTTTTGTTATGAGCATACTTTAATCTGCACTTGAGATCAAAATCCGAAGTAACATCTTGTACATTCTAACTTAAACTTCAACTCTTTCCTGCACTTTAAAGCCAAATTAAACACTTGTATGAAAGAATGATATATGAATGAGGAGGAATTAGAAACTTACAATTTTTCCAGCAGCTGGGATGTGCTCTGTGTCCGGAACGGGTCCTTTGGGTCCAACTGCTTGATTTTATTGGCTAACGCTCGCACATGACGACTGAGTTTGTTGTATCTGCAAGGTAAACAAAAAAATGTCAAAAATAATTTTCAAATTCACTACAGTTACAGGCATTGTCTTTGATCATCATGACCATGGCATCTTGACTGCGCGATGAAACGAGGCACCACCATCATGACCATGAACATGATGAAGACCTTTTCCAAGGACTTTGTGTGATCACATAGTAATATGGCCTGTGGGTACTTCTGAATTATGAAATAAGCCCTATCGACCCTCCCTCAAAAGCTTAATCACAAATTTATTCCTGCATTTCTATGAGTTCTTACATCTCTTAGAACTCAGTCTTACTTTGTGTAGTCCTCTCTCTTCTGGATGTGATACTTTCTCAGCACTTTTACCTCGTGCAAATTGTTGTCCACTTCCCACGAGATAAAGTCAACCTTCTTCAGAAGTTTCTTCTCGTGAAACTTCAGTTTTCTCATGACTATGACTGCAAAACCGTGCAATTAGTGCAAGACGAAATGCATCCTCTGTTTTAAGATTCTACTGTCACTGCAGTCACACACACACACATGGGTGCACAAAATATTCGTACACGAGATATATGTGCAAAATATGCACCGCGTGCTCTGGGTAGGCTGGACCCCTGCCGGATCCCCCATTGACAGTGTTGTCAACGTCAGGGATACAGGTAGCTCTTAGGGCGCCCTCTTTTGTATAAATGAGGCCAATGTCCAGCTTCCGCTCTTACGTGTTGAGTTATACACCATATAAGTAAAATAAAATTCTTCATTAACATCCTCTAATCAGTGTTTTTTTTAAGATGAATTTTAGTCATTCAACTGTGAGTTGAGTCTTTTTTTTAAAGATAAGGCTTATTCATTTTGGCCCACGGTCAACGCCAGCGAGCGAGGAAATGCCGGGCGCAAGAGATATTTCAATAGGCCCTATGTAAATTCATTTCTTTAGACTTCCATTGCCAAACCTTCGAGGATTTTTTCAAATGAAGGAATCCCATGCTCGGAGCCTAGAATTCACTTCCTGCACTGTGACCAACAACGGGCCTCGCAATGTTTTTCCGGGTAAACTTTCATAAACTCAAAAAGAGCACAGGGGGCGGAATCGGCTCCTGCAACATCTCCAATATCGTCGCATTGAAATTTTGTCACGCGCGCTATTTAAAGCCGTTGATAGTTTTTAGCCTCATATAGTAATTTTGACACAAATTTTTGTTACAGTTAGGCATCCTGTTCTCGAGCAACGTTCAGTTTTTTGAGACAGGTCAGCGCAAATCTATACTTTTCCTACTGTGCAGGTTCAAATCACGCGGGCCAACTTGGCCGGGTCATGAACTTTAAATATTAATATCATCTAAAACATAGGCTATATTGAACCAAAACCTTCCAGTTGTTCTGGCAATGAGGGTCTATGCGTAAAAATGTTCAAAGTGGTCGATCATTGTGACGGGGAGAATACGACCCGGCTGGGTGATGCTGGTCCAAAACAACCCGGCTCTTCGACTGTTGATCACAGACTGACCTTCCTTTTTTTAACCATCAGTCTGGCTTTACGGACAGAGTCAAGTTCAAGACAACTTCAAGTTGACCTCAAGTTCAAATAATCATACGATAATTTCAAACTTAGTTAATACTTCGACAAGGAAAAGGGCAGGGCTCCGATTATTCACCCCTTGTTCTCTTGCCATGCCATTTGCATTGAAGTTTGCAGAAACATCCATTACAGAATTTCAGCCCGATGCAGACACGCCTTTACGGGATTTATTCTCTATTTCCAAGGATTGATTTGCCCCGGGGAGGTATTAAAGTGGATTTATTCTCCATTACATGGAAAACAAAGGTGGGTCAAAAATGATCTAACCCATTGATCATTGGTAACGATGTTTGGGCTTCATTGGAACTTGTACAGGTCTGTACTCGCTACGCAGAAGGTACAACCTTAAACATAAAATTTTCAAACGACACCAAATCATACGGATCAAACCCTCTGCATTCCTTCCGGTGTTCTCTTTTAGTTTCCGATAATTATGACATCGATTATGATTAGGTTCATGACGTATCTCGAAGGAGAAAAAGAAACACGCACACACAGCGATAATTTATACGTGCGCGCCCGCTTTGCAAGTGCGCCTTCGTTTGACGTTTCTTAGACGTCACTTTCAATGCAGCGCGCGTTTCAGCCAGTTACCACGCCAACTGGTGGTTTTTGTTTACTTTCTATTTGGGATTTTTTTGCTCTCACACGTGCTTTGTTAACTTCTCTAAAACATCATTTTAACGATCGTTAATTTGTGACTGCCAACGGAGCGACATTATACTGGGGACATTGCAAACTGTTTCTTGAACCCCTTACATCGACAAAACTTCACCATGACTCATTTTGACGTGTTTGTCATCATGACCATACTGGCGGTATGCGGTGCACACACAGGTGAGAAACTTTCAAACTTATTACACTAGAAATCTTGGTCTGTACTTGTATTTTGTCAGAATCTGAGACTTGGGGGCAATTTTTTTTTGTCCTTTTGATTCCACCTTTGGTGAATCCACTGCTATAGGAGCACTGGAATGCCCGGCTAGGCAGGACTACCAATGCTACATCGGGTTTCCATCCGACCTCTTTCCAGCTGGGGCCAACCAAGCTGCGGCTACGGGCGCGCTGGGCCTCATCCTAGACGCTGCTCGCGGTTGGTGGGCCGCATTCATCAGGGCCGCCGAGAGTGCGTCCCAGGAAGCCGAACAATCTGCACGCTCCATTAACGGCACCACCCCGACAGACGCACCGATCGGTCCCTCGTCGGCCTCGAGCAACAACGACGAAGAAGACTTCGACTTCAAGATCTGGATCCCAGAAGAGTGGGAATTGTCGCCGGTAATCAACTCAACCCAAACACCGTGCTCTGATCTTGAGATGTATCCACCATCAGCCGATGAATTGCCAGTTGCTGATGAGCATGAGAAGAGTGAGCAAGCTCAAAGCGAAGTGGACAAAGGTACATGTTTTAAATTATTTCGAAAGTTCATTCGTATCGTTTCGTTGTTTTCTTTCGTATAATTACTGTTTCTTTCTCTTTCTCAACACAGATGTAACTGATTCATCTGTTGTCCCTATTCTGCCGTGTCTTTTTTATCATATCACCGAACGGGCAGTGTTACATCGAACTTTTTTCTTTGCAGCTGCCTGTTCCGTGTGCTTTCCTTCAGCTGCAATGGACGACGCTTCAAGAAATCTTACTTATGATGAAATCGACGCCATGCCATTCCGACCAACCTCCCACTGGCACACCATCTCCGCTTGGCTGGACTGGTTCCTGACTCACCTCCTCCTCCACCACGCCGCACATGCACAGCTCCAGATCGACACCCAAGGTCCGTACTCTGGCACCATCGCGACGACGGTGACGTCACCCGCGACGACCAGTCATTGCCGAGCCTTCGTCGCCCTGGACCTGAGCGGTGAGATTCGCCCCGGAAAGGTGTTCGTCGAGAAGCCGCCCCTGCTGGCCTGGGCCACCCGGACCGTGTCCGTGGCCTTCGTCGTGGTGCTGCTGTGTCTCCTCAGTCCCGCGTGCTTCATCGGAGAAGAGCAAAAGAAAGAAGCGCGGGAGACCAAGGCGCTGAAGAGACGTAAAGGGAACGAGCATCGCAGAAACGGCCGTCGATATGCTGCATACATGAACGCTAAAGGACGCCAATAGATCAATCACACTTCATTAGAACTTGAGAAATCTGCGCTGGCTGTAGGCCTGCATTGAGCCAGCAGAACTTACAAGGACACGGGAATATGGACAGTACAATCTGCCTTAGTCTTTGCTTCAAGTTTTCGTATTAAAGAAGCAAGAAATTCGCATCAGGAACTGTATTAAAGAGTAGGATCGACTTCAAACTGTCTCAGCAAATCTGAGAGAAAGACTGAGAAAGTTGACAAGCTTCATCGTGTTTCACCATCGCATGAGAATAGCGAAATAAATTTATCACGTGCAAGCAGAATCTAGAAAAAGGACTAGAAATGGACAGTTGACTCTGCCAGAAATAATTGCCTGCACTTGTCACTGAAAACAGAACATATTGCATTAGATAGGATGATAATTATTGTACTCGCAATATCAAGAAAAAAAAGACCATAAAATCAACGGTATAATCTGTTATTAGAGTGGTAGTTGATAGCCGTTGCCAAGAACTAAACCTTAAACATCGATTTCTCAGTTTATCATCTTCCGATTTCTCCGATCGTAGTAATATTTCATCGTATGAATAAAAAGCAAGAAACCACTCCGCATTGTAATTCATGAAAAACCATTTATGTCACAGTATAACAATTTGGCAGTAACAGTAACATTATGCTGAAAGGGCAATTGAATCATGGAATAAACTGAATATGAAAGATTAATCTAAGATGACGATTATGGCTTTTAATTATATGCGGTTACTGTTCTGCCAAAAATCTTCCTGGTGAAACTTTGGATGTTAATTGCATAAGGTTAGTGGATTTGAATTGGATGGAATGTAATGGGCAATTCCGGCTGAAAAACGGATCTTACCGTTTATACCGTCAGCAACTGAAAGCACGTAGCTAGTGGCTATAGGGACCCCAGCTGGACCAACGATGCAAAAACTGTGGTGTTAAAATCAACACTTTTTGGTGTTATCAGATGACCACACCAAAGTGTGTTACTTCAACACCGCTTGTGTTACTTTGCACACCTATGAGCGCACTGGAGGGTGTTAAAAGTAACACCAAACAACCAAAATTTTAACATCGGTGAAAGGTGTTGTTGTAGTCCTCTGATAACACGGGGGGTGTTAAATTTCACACCCCAGTTTTTTGCAGTGAAGAGAGGGCGCAATTTTCCTAGCAGCAGAGGCTCATTTGGTGGTTACTGACTCACCAGTGGTTCACGAAACGACTATGAAACGCAAGCGTTGCACTGAGTCGCTTCTGCTTAAGGCGGATATACGTCCATTTCCCATAGATTTGCATTGTTTTGTTGGCCGTAGCCAAGACTTACAGACGCAGCCTTAATTATCTCACCAGTGTAGATCCTGAATGCAACCGGCAACCTGAAATTGGGTCACAATTGCAAGGATACAGCATTGTCGTGGGGTGTGTGCTTATACGTCAGTGAACTAAGGGGCGAATTTGGAATATTTTGACCGGGTGAAAAGTATGGTATGCGATTCGAAGTTTAGTAAGCGGCGACAGACATAAGTGAGACCAAGAATTGCTTTATGGTTGTAAATGAAGAAGGTGGAAAGCAGTACGTTCAAAAGTATACCGTGAATCAAAGTTTTCTTTTAGTCAGGGTTAGTTTACAGTTGAAATTTCCGAACATTAGAAGGTCGAGTTTTTACGTATCCAGAGTCGTGCACAACCTTCATAGCTCCTAAGCGCTCGTCTTACTCAACCTGCGAACTGTTTGAGGCGGAGCGCTCAAAATTCTCCTACGTTTTTCTGAGCTCAATTGGTGGATTAATGCCTTTTATTACCCATTATGAAAGTCGTTTTAGCCGTCCACGCGTCGGCTCAGGGTTGAAGTAGTAGACTGTCCTCGAGTCACTGAATGGAAAATCACTTCTAGTGACATGTTAACTAACAAGGTCAGATGACAAGAAAGTTCTAGTTACCGAACGTACATGTAGCGCATTTCATAACAAAGAGCAAGAGGCCTATTCTTATGTTTGAATGTAGGCAACGGTGTGTTGTAAGTAACCACGAAGCCTACCTGGTAACTTCATGTACACATAACCACAAGTCTGACCTCAAGGCACCACTGGCTGTCGCTTGGTAGGCTTCAGTGCACCACTTACCATTTTGCCATGAGTAGGCCATTCAACTTGACGGTCTACATCTTGCCTATTGTGTAATTTCAGTTTCTTGTTTACCTACAAGGCATCCAGTGGCGCACGGGGGGGGTGTCTCAGGGGCTTGAGCCTCCAACCCAAGAGGTTGTCAAGATGTGTAACTTTCTGCAAAACGAGGAAACAAAAACTGCACATCCCAGACCCCTGTGGAGCGGGGAGGGGGATCATCAACTATAAGGGATCGATTCTGGTCCGAACCCCGTCACTGGCCCCCCCAAACGACAAATCCAGACCCAAGTGCATTTAGAATCTCCAGCATAAACTCATTTTCATTCGCAAATTGGGCTACATGGTAAACTCTTGGTGGCGCCTGCTATTTTTTCAATCGCTTGTGTTTGGCTCAGAGCAAAGCTCAATAAATTTTAGAATACAGGATGACATAAATATTGGCGTATGTGTATCAATAAGAGTGTCCCTGATGACTAAAAGTTATGAACAAAAGAAACACGAGAGAAGCTATTTACTTATAAATAGAACCAGATAGTTTGAACGGTTCCTAGTCATACATACACTATGAATGTTTTATAAATCACTTTCACAATGTTAGACATACTGTTGGTTCGCAACTTCGCGGAGAATACGGGCGCTGTTGTGAAACGCCCGTACAGAGTTATGTTGCCAGTTTTGGGATCAAAGAAGTTTTTGCCAGATTTTCCTCGTTCCTGAAATCTTGAAAACTCTTTCATTCATGTTGAAAAAGTTCATTGTCTGCAATATGGAATGCAGGTAGGTGTTCCATAATCATTAATACATGACTTACCTTGGCAAAATACTTCATATCTGTATTATACAGAAATAGGCCTACTCGAATATACTTGGAGCCTAAGATACGTCGTCTTATAATTGAGCCAGAATTTTCTTCATTCTTGTCTCTTTGATGTCTAGGTTAGGCCCCTATCGCGTAATTATGACAGCAAGCAAACTGCTCAGAGTAAAAGTTAAAGATTTATTAGAAAATGAATTCTTTTGGTGTTTCCATCAAAGTTTTATAAGTCTTAATGAACACAAAACGCATGACTTTTTTCCATTCTAGAAGGTCTTTTCTTAAGAACGCCCGTTTCCTCTCTTGACGTCTCACGCCTGACCAGGGACAATATTACCATTTTTCCACCGCACAAAAAGGGTCAAAAATTAACAGGTTATCTGGGTTATTCAGCGTGCGGGTTCTTAAGCCCAGCGCCCATTCATGGGTGCTCAGTCTGGCGCAACCGACCCATCCTTCCAGCAAGAGAAAAAAACGGGGACATTCCTCCGGTACTGGCCCATGCCAGGCATAGCCCATTGGACAATAGCGGTACTAGAAGACCCGACCACTACCCTAAAAGGAGGTGGTTGGTTCTGGGGTGGGCTTGGCGATCTGAAGTTTCCGTTTGGGCGTGGCCGTGTGCCCGCAGTGGGAAATTGAAGAATTTTGTTTGGTGGTTGGGTGATAAGTGTCGACGAAATGATTGAGCAGAGTTTTGACATGACAGTGAGTTGGGCCCAAAGTCCGACCACAGAAATTTCTCAACTTCATAAATGTGAAAAAATATACAGTGTGTGCTGTAAGGCTCTTTTCTCCAAAAATCTACGTAACTGTTAACGACGTCCACTTTCTGCCTAAACTCGCCAAAGCACTCGTTTTCCGTCCCCTACAACCCCCCAAGAAAAAAGAAAAAGAAAGAAAAATTATATGGACAACCTCTTTTATGGTCGCGGTGTAAAGATCAGAAATTGTCTCAAGACATTTCGAAGAACAGTTCTTCTAAAATCGTCGTTATCACGAGTCCAGTAATATAGTACTTTTCATTGATCCTGACAGAACCAAACACGTAAAAAAAACATCGGTTTGAATTTCTTATTTGTATATTTGTTCTGTGGATCGCTCAAACTCGTTCGAATTTCATTTTAAAATTTCGTTGTGTTTTATGTTCATCGCAAATAGGGGAGATAAACAAAAGCTTGATTTTGGGAAAAGTTATCAGCTGGCTTCCCCTCCGAGTTGGTCAGTCACTGACAAAAAGGAACCCCCCTTTTAGCCGAATGCAAACATTAAGACGCCGGACCAAATTTCACTATGAAAGGCCGAAGGAGTGGGGCTTACGTAACGTGCTTTCAGAGGCGAGGGGGGATAAAAAGGTTAGCGGCCGTTTCTGGGAGGGGCTTTTCAGCGTGCCTTGAATTCGGGAAACCTTGTACAATTTTCACTCGGTGCGTAAACGTGGCCTGCCATTCGAGTATTTGGGTGGTGTTCAAACGGTCAGTGCTGGTTTCTCTCCGTTCGCGACACCGAACATGACGCCGAAGATGCTCGGCCTAGCTGCCCTGGTGGCAGCTCTGTTTTACCTAGCCTGTTCAACTTCTGCAAAACCGCTTACACAGGTGAGAAGACTTTTTTAAATCAAATATTTCTCTTTGAATTTAATTTTAAAGAAACCGATATGTAATAGACGGCAATGATTGGATAAGTGTGTGTTACACAAATCAGGGGTCACCCAAAAAACGGATTTAAGTTTTGCAAGTCTTATTTTCATATTTTGCCATTTTTAAAAGACTTTTAATGAGTATTTTGCACGCGCTTCGAGATAATTGCAAATTTGCCATAAGGCTGACTTTGTGGTGCCATTTGCCCCCTAGATATTTCTTGTCTCTCGAGTTTTTTCAAGGCCACACCCAAGGTGCCGATCGAAACGTGAATCAATGAAAGTTGGACGGTTAACTGCATTATTTTATCAACGAACAACGTGATTAATGGATAGAGCCGAGCTTTGTCATACTTGCGCGGTACTGACACTAGATAGTCTTTATTAAGACGTGTTTAGCAGCCGATGTGAAATCATCACTGGGAAAGGAATCTTGGCAAATTGCAATAAATACTCTCCCTCAAGTTGAATTCCTTGACTTTCGTTGTAGCTGTTGAAGCGTTTTGCTCTTCTGAAGTAAACAGGATTTCGAACTTAATAAGCTTACTTAATACATGTACCTCTAATCAGGATTTTTTTAATTGAAAAAAATATTGTTTTGAGACCGATGATAGCATCCATGGCTTTGATCTATGTACGTGATTCCCATCTTTATAATGAGCAAATCGGTTACCCAAGGTCGAGGGTTGGTGTGTACATTTGTATCCGTTGATAAGAGCCCCGCACAAAGCTACAGTTTTCTAATTAGAAACTTCACAACCGGTTGACCTATTATTGATAACGAAAATTAGTAAACTTTTTCACAATCCTGCAGAACATGTTCTTCATAAGACATGAGTGGTATTGCATAAAGTGGGTATAAATGTGCAGCGTTTGTATTGATTTCAGTCACTGCAGCTTTAGTTTCCAGTACTCTAAATAGGTCTACAGGTAATGGCAAAATGCGTTTGAAACACTGAGAAGACAAACTTTTGGAAACTTGGAATGCCTTTTTGGTAAATGCGTATGTTATATTATCAACATTTCATTTGTAACTCGTTTTTCGTACACGTGCCTGTGCATTCAAAATATAGCAGGATCTGGGCACACAGGAAAAACAGATATGTTTTATTTGTAATGACGATTGTACATTGGCGTGACTTATCCTTTAATACACCAAATGTAAACAACTTGGGCAGACAGAATACGGTCTTAAATCGACCGCCAACCTCAATCGGAAATACGTGGGCGTTGGCCGTTCGTCCCCCCGGCCTAAAAAACCCAGTGTCACCGGCCATCCGACCCGTCTTAGAAAGCTCACGCCATCCCTGCCCCTGAGTTAGCAAGACAGTCTATGGAAGCCCCGACGACAAAAAGATCTTCCTGAATTGTCCCTGTCCTATTCATTCAAGAATGTGATCAGCATACAACTACAGCGTTTGTGTGCAGCTTGAATAGAGCGTCACGGTACCACGAGGGTCTTGGCTATACGCATGGTTATACAATGCCCATAGACAGGTTGCGCCTTTCAAATGGAGAAGCTTAGCAAATCGAAGAAGCGATCCCCACACAATCTTAATGCCGAGGCTCTCCCAAGTGAGGATGCCATGATTTATCCACAAGATTGGAGTCTAATTAAAAGACAATGTTTTCATAGTCATCTTGGTGTGAAAAAAGTAGGCTAAATGGATACCGGTAAGACTTCTAAAAATTCGAAACCAGTGCAACGGTACTGTTTGTTGTTGGACTTCTTGAACGACACTAGTGGGTCTTTCACAAAGGCATCAAGTACTTGATTATGCAGATCAAGGGCGTCGCGCTTTTCAAATGTAAAACGTCTCAACTTGGCTGAAGCCAATGGTCAGTTCTGTGTTATATGCAGGATAGACCAAAGATCTCGCACATTATACTGTCGTAGGATGTGCTCGAAAAGTCTGTAACATCAACTGCGGTGACAAACTGCAAAAAACGTCGTCAAATTTCAACAAACCGATGGCAAAATCCCAATGCCATCATGTCCATGTCCCCTATGTGATACACAGAACCATACACACTGTATATGTGAGACACGTGACATGATTCACGTTGCAATTTCATGTGAAAAAGATGCAAGGAAAAATCGAAAGCTTTTTTCAATCGGCATTTACCAACAGTGAATAAGTAGTGCTCTTCGTCTTATAACTCGATATCCTCATGCAGTAAGGGACTTTGAAAATGAAAAAACACAGTGCCATCTATCTGCAAATAACGTCCTTCTGATAGTTATCCAGACCGTCTTGAAGATTTGGGTTGTCAGCTACCGAACTACACTTTCGCTTCGACCCAGTGAATTCGAGTCCATGTACATGGGCCACTGTTACAGAACCGTGCCATTCCACTGACGCACTATACGCATCCTTGATTCACTGAACCGTGGCACAACCACTGCCCGCGCGCCCCGTCATCTTAGGCGGTGATATGATGCAGGGAAGAGTTCCATTGTGTCTCGTGTTTGCCCAGTCTTCCCTGGCATGCCTATGCGTCGCTGTAATCCGTGTTATGTAAACGAATCGCCGCTCTGTGAATTTCATTCACAGAGGACTTGTAAGAGCCTTTGACAGACTAAGCTTGAGAATACAGAAGAAATGGAACAGCGGACGAGGCAGCATGATGTTACTGGACAATCTTAAAACCAACCGATATGGCATTGTGTACTGACAATGATTTTTATACACAATTAATTTTTGCTCGTCAGAAATCTACAGGAAGTAAGAGTTAATAAGTTGAAACTTAAACCTTTTCAGTCAATTCGGTGCTTCAGTTAGCTTCGTGACGATCTTTTAGTCTTTGTTCGATATAGTGATAGACAGAAGTCAACGAAGCTTGCATCTGTTCACTGAATGTTTCAGTAAGTTTAATTACTGACGTCAAATCTCCCTGGATGGGCGTGTCATTTCTTATCAATGTCTGTGTGTACATACAGTAATTACGAAAACACCTCCACCTTCTCTATACGGCCAAATCCAACCATCGGAATATTATTTTTGAACGCTTTCGAACTTTAGAGGGAAATTAACCGGTTGATTTCGCTCTAAAGTTCACTCTAATTTTGCCAAAATTTTGTTCTGAAATTGCAATAAATGGTTACCAGTTCCAATGAAAGCGTAAAGTCCAATCATTGACATTTATCCAATTTGTAGCATTTTTTCCTGAGACTACTGGTGCATCACAAAACTCGCTGTTTCTATCTTTTAGGGTCTAGAGCTGAGCTCTGCTGATCGGCTTCATTACTTTGGCCAAACGGAAGGTGAGTAACACTTTTACAACCTTTTGAGTAAAAAAGTTCCCGCAAATTCTTAATAAGAGAAAGATTACTACATATTGTTCTTACTTTGCCTCTATTATGCATGCAATCATACATTGATTTAACTCCAAATCCTGACATGTTTTGTTTAAAACCTCTTACGGATGGTAATGTTTCGTTTTTAGTCAAATAAAATAAAATTGGTTGGAAAATGGACTTACAAAACGACTGAAGACGCAAGTCCCTTAGCTGTTCATTTATACAAATTTTTCAACTAGTGATGATCATGCCAATGAAGTGTCCTTGCGTTCAAATGTACCTGTGGGCATTCTACGATATGGTCGGTATTCACCTTGGCAGAACAATTCAATCGCTTACCAGGTCGTTTTAATGAACCACTTGTGGAAGATGGTTACCCGTTTATGCCATTGCCCTTGTAAACCACCCCGGTCCCTTTTGGTCAATGTTTTTGCTCTGTAAGGAAAAATGCAAAAGTTATGGCCCTTGAGGTAACCTTTAATAATCCAATACATTTGGCATTATTAGTGGTCGCACTGATAAGAAATCTTACTAGCAAGAATGAAGCATTGTCGGTTATTATCAACCATTTATGGCATCAAAGTTGCTAAAATGTGTCACGTTTACGTGTAGGCCTAGGCCTATATGCATTTTGGGAATAGTTCCAAATATGAACATTATCAATTTTCCCCGCCGTGGTTTATCAGCCGTCAGAATGCGTTGAAATGTCCCAGCCAGTGAAATCTTGCCGAGAAAATACTGAAACAGTTCCTTGGAAAGCGGAATGTTTCAGAACAGTCTCGGTACCGTATTTGCGCACAGGGTGACAAATGATGTCCGTATTTAAGTGGTAAATACTCTACTTAGCTTTTCTGGGAGTTTTGGTGTGGTTTCGCCAAGCAGGTCACAAGTACCAAAATGGGTAACATGCAAAATACAACCCGATTTTACATTTAATACCTTTTAACTCGCCATAAACAGCACAAGATTATGAACTGGTCTCGCCGCGAGTCGCTCAGAGGAGGCGGCGAGCGACGCGGGGTAAGCACATCGAGACCACTAAGATTGTGGCCTTCCAAGCCTTCGGCGAAGATGTTTTGGCCGACCTGAAGCCCGTCCAAGGCCTGATCGACGCAGGGACCCTGGTCCATGAGATCGGCGAGGACGGCAAGACGGTCCTCGGTCAACCCGAGGAATACTGCTTGTACCAGGGGACGTCTGTGAGTCACGAGAACTCGGCCGTGTATGGCAGCGATTGCGGTAACAAGGTGGGTTGAAAGTTGGGACAGCGAGGACAAATATTACTCAAGATGTCCAGCACTTCGTTTACGCACGTGTTTATACGTCTACTAAGCACCACAAGAGAGCGCAAACGCGTGTTGTCATCAGTACAGAGTTTTTCATGTTGATAGGATGGAGAATAGGTGTCTTTAATTTTGTGGGAAATCCTCATAGAAGTATTAATGATGAATTCTGAGGATTTGAATTGCAGCCGTTTTTGTGAGAGTTACACCTTTTTTTCCTAGTAGAAGGCCCAGAAGTGAGTCTTTTCACTTGAAACTAAACAGGGAAGAAATACATACTGAATACATAACCTTTTCAGCAGTGTCTTGACTATGGCTATTTAGTACCGACATGATACAATCTTCATTATCCCCTTTGCCTCGACAAGTTAACTTCACTTACATATGAAATATCTTGAGGGACAACCACTTGTCACTGACAAAATAATAAATGTACAAAGCATGTACAGAAACTGAAAAATTGAAATTGTTTTTCTAATCCTTTTTGTGCTGGGATTGATGTTCGTTTCATTATAGCTTGAAGCAACTGTCACTACGGACAAGGTTTCACTCCACCTCCAGCCGTTGAAGCCCGAACATGTGGAGAAAGACGGACCCACTCACATGGTGGTCCGAAGGAGCATCAACAGGGAAGCCTGCAACATGAATGGTAGGTCACTCTCTGCCGTTGGCTGCTGAGCCTTGAGTGTAACTGCACTCGCAGTTTGCAGATGATCATCTGAAACGCTGATCTTCGTTTCATTGACGCGCTTATTAACTTTTCTTTGTAGCCGAAAGAAATTTTGACACTCTGCAGACGAGGCGAAAGAGGTCAACAACCGATCCTATCTACGTGGACACCTCAGTTGTGGCTGACGACTTGGTGTACAAAACCTATCGCAACAACACCAAAAACTACATCCTGACTGTTTTGAATCAGGTGAAATGCTTGTTGCAATTACTCAAAAGATCTGACTTGACCAATCACTGGATAAAAATACTTGTTTACAACCATTTGAAATGATTAACTAAATTTAACTGAGGCTTAACTAGACCTGGGAATTGTCTGTTTGGGACATGATGTGGAAAAGTTGATTTTGGAATATGAATTTGATATTTCCAATGATGAATCTGAACGTCCCTCAAGATTACCTCTGATCGTTTCTCCAGGTTGCTGGACTGTTGAAGGACCCGAGTTTAGACGTCAAAGTCAACTTGAAAATCAACAATATCAAGATTCTCAAGACACCACAGGTGAAAAGCAGTTTTAAAACGAGTCATTGAAATATTATTTGAGTATTACCTACAAGTTTCTAAAACCTTTCAACTAACACTTTTTAAATTGCAACAAGAGCAGTGAATTAATTATAGCTAAAAGTTGTTGAACGGTATTTTTTGGCCACCGTAAAATGACTTTTTACTCTTGAGGGCGCCGGGGTTCGGTGAGGACAATTAAAGCGCGCGTGCGTACTGGTAAATTAATGTATTCTGTCGCATTTCATCTGATTTTCTTTTTTAGGCTGACCTGCCTCTTTCAGAGGAACTTGAGAATTCCCTGCGGAACTTTTGTGATTGGCAGAAGAGAAGCGATTCTGATATTTCGATTCTTATCACAAGGTAAGCCTGTAAAAAAATCCCTTTTTAAAAGCATTTCAGGTAAATCAAGTTTTTAATAAAACGTGCAGGAATGCTGCAGACGTTTGAAACCTTAATAAAATATGACAATCTTCATTAAGCTTAGTTAGGAAAGGAATATCTCACTTCCTGCAAATATAGCCTTTTTAATAGACTAAGCATCGGTTTAAAAAAATCTAAACCTCTTTTTCCTCTGAAGGCATGACCTGGTCTCTGCTGGCAATCGCAAGATCACTGGCAAAGCCGCTGATGTTGGAGGAGCATGCGACCCAAACAGACGCTGCCTTATTGGCCAAGATCACGGACCCAGTGGACTGATCTTCACCCTCGCGCATGAGATTGGGCACAGGTAATTTGACCAACACTGTAGGGCTGTAGATTCATCTTCAGTTAAATTCAACAGGATATAAAAGTGATAAAAATGGGATAAAGGCCTAGGCCTACAATCAAAATACAAGTACATGTACCTTGTCAACAGTGGAAAGGGGACAAATTGTAATTTTGTGAGTGCCATTATCATGGCATTATTAGGTCGAGTAAAAGAAAATGTTAAGAAATAATTTTAAGGTCAGTGTTAGGCCCTACATGAATAAAATTATCAAATCTTCTTGGCTCCGACACTTACCAAAATTAGGAATCAAATTTGAAGCTTGAAAACTGTTTTTAATTCAGACTTGAGTACGTTGGCTTTTGATAACTACAAGAAATTTCAATGCACAATTCCTCTGCTGCGTCCAAGTGGCAAAATTAGATATTCAGCCAAATGCATTGTCAGCTAGAAGTCACATTCCCAAATTAAAGTCTATCAGTCAGCTCTGCGATACATTAACTTCTAAGTTTCATTTTTTTTTCTGCTTACTGATTCTAACAAAGTTACAGCGATCAGACAGATTACTTTGTATAACCAGGACTTTCTTCTAAGAGTGGCAGAAAAGCAACAGAATGAAAGAATTTGGGGTTCTCAGAATTTGCTTTATATTAACAGTATTTTCAGTTATTAAGTTCTTTATGTTGAGTCAACTGTACTTGGCTTCTTTTCTTAGGGTTTGACTAAAACTCAAAGGTTGTGCTTAAAACGGTGAAGAAAGTAATATAATGCTGTTTATCCCTTGTCAAATAAGCACCTTAAACAAACTGTCCTTGACAACTTCCTTGAGCAGCACAGAATCTATCGCGGCAGTTCATTTCTTTGTATTAAACATTATTTTTTTAACAGCCTTGGCATGTACCATGATGGAGGACTGAGTGACTGCGCTAACAGGAAGAACATCATGGCATCTGTCAACTCTGGTGGGCCTGACGCCTTCCACTGGTCTGAATGCAGCAACAGCGACCTCCTCAACTTCTTGGCGTGAGTTGGACTTTCCCATTTTGTTGCCGATGTTGACAACTGGCGAGTTTAACACAGCAATTAAGAGTGCTTTATGCTGTTGCATGTATGATACCAGAGGCTTTTTATTGGTTAAAATTTAACCAATGTGCTAAAAACACAAGATTCTGTTCGTGCAAGGGCTTGGCAGTTTCATGTTTCTTGGTTGATGACATTTTTTCTGAATGTATGAATTTGATACTCCTAGTCATTAAGGTTCACAGAATTTATATTGGGTTTCTCGACTGGATGATTTCGAAGGTTTCGAAAGGGGTTCAACGTTTAATTTCATTTTTGCTTATGATGCAGTCATCCGGAGTCCAAGTGCTTGAAGGACAAGCCAAAGTCTCTGCCCGAATATACTGATTCCTCCATCCCCATGCCTGGCTTTTACTACAATGCCAGCCAGCAGTGCGCCTTGACCTTCAACGAGAATAGTGCCGTTGCCTCGGAGGTTCTGAACAAACCAGTGAGGGCAGCAATTTTGTATTTACGCTCTTGTGAATAACCTTGGAAACTGGGTTTGATATTGTCATTGTGATAATGATAAGTGTGATAAGTATGCTTATATCTATGGTTCTGTAGGTATATGAACATTACTCAATTGGAAAAAACTTGATTTGTGCACATTCTGGTGAACATACTCTCACATATTTAGCAAATCTGGGATAAAATTTTGTCGTTGCTTACGTGCATTTCCCTTTGTGTTTTCAACCATATCGGAGGAAGATAAGTTAAGGACCAGTCAGAACTTTGATTCCTCTCCAAAAGAAGAGTGTAAGGAAATGAATTTGATAGTCAACCTGCTTTTTATCTTTTAAGGAAATTTGTCAAGCTCTGGTTTGTAAGAATGGCAAGGGAGTCCCAGACTCCACCAACGTACCTCCCCTTGATGGAACCCGCTGTGGTACCAAGAGAGATGTAAGTGACCAACCTGTTTATTCCCCCACACATTTAAAAGATCAATGTTGTAGTCTAAGCCACAAGATGATCACAAGACCTCCAGCGTGAAGTCAAGTCACAACTTTCTAGTCCAGTAAACTGCAACAAAAGCATTCCGTGGTAGTTCACCCCGTCGCTTGTGACTGGTCTTGTGACTTGTCTCGTGTCAGCCGGTCTTGTGACTGGTCCATTGTGACCAGCCTACCCTGGATTTTCCATCAACAGTTTATAAATTGTGTAAAATTGTAGATTAAAGCTAGTTTTCAAGATGTATTTTTTTGCGTTGGGGAGATGTTAATTATATATAACGGGTTTGCCCTTACCCAACGTGTATTAATAAACACTG